CAGGCAAAGGGATGCCCTGGGGACTGGAGGTGATTCTTCCCCAGGAACCCGGCCGAGCGATGATATTTTTTGTACCTTTTGTGAGCTGAAGGACTGGGTCCAGTGGTACAAAACCAGCCTGTCCTGGGATTTGAGAGCGGGGTCTGTCGGGTCCTGGTTTTCCTCCCCTTCCGTGGATTTCCCTGCGTCGTTCTCCAGCGCCGAGATGGGCCACCAGCTGCAGTTGGTGGGAGTAACATTATTGGGAGTCGCCATGACAGCCTGCGAGCGAGCGGGGAGAGGGACGAGGGAGCGAGCGGCGCTAGCCCAGCATCACATGGGCTCCTGCCAGCAGCATCACTCCCGGGGCAGCTCCATCTCTCCCCGGCTGGGGTGGGCAGCGCGGGGCGGTGGGTGCCGGGGGTTGGGGTGGGGATGGGGGTCACAGGAGAGGATGGTGGCGGCAGCGGCGGTGGCGGGGGGGAAATCGCAGCCCGTCCCCGCGCGTGGCGGGGCTCCCACGGAAACGTGCAGGCATGGATGGCTTCTATAGGCGAGTCAGCAGCGGAGGCTCCTGCCGGCTCGGCAATCCAGGGCAGCTCCAACCCCTGACGCCCCTGAGCAATATTTTGCAGCAGAGATTAGGATATTTTTATATTTTTTTTGACTGGTTTAGATGTGGCAGATATGTAATAAATAGCTACGTTGGTGCATACTGGCTATCAATGTCTAGTGGGTGTCTCGCCTGCCTTGCAGCCTTCATGGAAAGAATGGCTCATTAAAGGTATTCGGTGATTTTTGGAAAGGACAGATTAATTGCTGCCTAATGGGTGTTATGTAGCCTGTACCAGGGTAGAGCCCAGGAGCCCTTGCCGTGTATCGGAGCCCCAGAGTGCCCAGCAGAACCAGACAGCCATCCTGCACCAAACTAGGCACAGTTGGGGGTTATTTCCAGAACTGCAATTGCAAACCAGCCGGCTTTCCTCTGCTTGGAGAGTGCTGGGGTTTCCAGAGATGCTGCTCTCCGGGCACTACGAGCATCACCCAGAGGTTTGCAGGCAAACCTGTGTGGGCAGCTGACACCTGAGCACGGTGACCTGGACATCTGGGCCTGTGCTTTATGACACTTGGCTTTGTCACGCTCCATCTCCTGCAATCTGGCAGCCTGGAGATAATTTCCCACACATGGGACCAGCTGACAACGCCGGGGGGGTAAAACCAGCCCAGTTATGTAGGTTGTAGGGCAGGTTCTGGAGAGGATGGAGGAGAGGGCTCTGGAGAGGCAGGGAGCAAGCCTGTGTCCCAGGGCTGTGCGAGGGCTCTGGGTGCGAGCGCGGCTCCTCCGTGTGTTGATCCCATCTCCACCCATGCTGGAGCTGGTGAGGTTGCCCCAGGTGTGGATGGAAACGGGAGGGTTTGGGAGAGCTGGTTCAAGTGGGGAAACTGAGGCACAATTCCTCGAAGAGCACTGGGAGGGAGCGGGGTTAACTGGTACCCAGCACCATAAGCAGAGCGAAGCAAGCAATTTTCTGGGGACTGGGAGGTGAAAATGAACCCGTTGGTGTCGTGATGCCCTGCTCCTGGGGGTGTATGGGAGGGTGATGCAGAGGGGTGAGGCTGGGAAGCACTATGCCCTGCCCTGCCTCCACCCTACCTTCTTCCCCATAAGCAGCAGCCCCCAAAATCATCTTCCTGCCCAGCCCAGGACCTCCCAAGTGCTGCCAGAGACCCCACGCTGGCTGTGGGGACACCCACAGGGAAAGGCTTTTGCTTGGCCTCTGCTTTGGGGCTGCAAAGTCAGAGCAGTGACCTGCACTGCTGAAAACTTGGAGACAAGTGAGCTTTAAAGAACTCCATGGTGCAGCACCACCCTGCCCTCTGCTCTGCAGTGTCCCCTCTGCCGGCTGGGAGGAGGGAGAGGGAGCTGCCCAAGGAGCATCTTCTGGGGCTCCTTTCGCCTGGAAGGGGACACCTTTGGGGTTTAGAAAGGGAAGGGAGCAGCTTGGCCAAGCACAAGTGGATCTCTCCTGCGGATCGCCGTCCGAAAAGCCCCATCTAGTGGCATATTTTGTGAGGAATTAACGCTGCACCATTGGGTATAAAAAATGACAAGTCGCTTCATCCCTCTGGGTCCTGCCGGTACGCGGTGCCTCTGGAGGCTCTCATTTATTTAGCTGGGGTTTGGCTTCCTAAAGAGAGCAAGGCTCGAGGGGCAGGATTGGTGCCAGCCCCTTTTAGGGGTGCCCTGACCTTGTGCGACCTTGAGATCGTCCCCAGCCTCCCCGCCTGAGGAAGGGGACGATGCTGTGCCCCACAGGATGCTGCGCGGTGGGACCCGGTGGCACCAGCAGAGCCCTGTCGGGAGGTGCCATCGGGGCAGGATCGTGGGTCCTGCTGGTTTGGGAATACACAATCTGGGGTGTCTTGTCTCAGAGCTGACGCAGACATTCCAGAGGGGAGAGAGCAGGTGGATGGAGTCGGTCATGGGACTTTGCAGGCACAGAAGCACCTTCCCTGTTTTAGAAGGAGGGGGTGGAAATCGGGCTGTAGAATCAGCTTTATTGATTTTTACTTTTTTTTTTTTTTCCTCTTCTTTTTTTTTTTTTTTCAATGCACATGCCTTTTTAATCTTCCCTGATGGGAAAGGACTTAACAGACGCCAACATCTCTAATTGCAATTTTTTTTTTTTTTCCTCTTCTTTTTTTTTTTTTTCCCAGTGGCCTGATTCAGCATCTGCCAATGTAAAGCTTAGCTAGGACTGGGGTTGGCTTCTGTAAAGTGAGAAATAAATTTCATTGATCCAGAGTGCCCTTCTGCATCCTGCTTTGGGTGAACTCGTCCTGAAACTAGACAGGCAAGTAACTTGTAAAATGCTGGGGCGGAGGGAACTCAATGAAAAAGAAAAACCCAGCCTGGTTGTTTTTTGCTGAGGTAGGAAGCAGAGAGGTGGGATCCGATCTGAGGAAAGTCCTGGGAGCGTTGCAAGCCCACTGGTGCTTTCTCAGAGCACTTTCTTTTGTAGAAGGATTGGGGACACATCCTAGAGCATCCCTGGCCACAGAATAACTCCTTGGAGCAGGCACAGCAGCACGCTGCCAGCAGGGCTGGCAGGGCCATGCTCAGTGCTGCTTGTATCAGGGCACCCCAGAGGCTGGGAGCTGATTCTCATCAATTAAGCTAATTGTGCTGTGCAGGTATTCCCAGAGACGATGCCGGTTTTTGGTAACACGTGAGGTTTCAGGCAGGCAGCAGGAGTCACTGAGTTCTCAGAGTGAAGTGGGTGAGCTGAACTGGGAAGGCGTTGAAGGAAACGGTAAATTTGGGATTGGGTCCTCTCTTAGAGCTCGTGATTTCACTAAAATTAGATGGTTTGAGCAGCGCGAATGCCAGCAGCAATGTTTCAGTGCGTTTGCTACAAGCCTGATCGGTGCAATGAAGAACCCAAACCAGCTGCCCCTCCTCTCCTGCGGGAGCACTGGACGTGCTTGAACATCAGCACAAACGGTATTTCGGGCAGAACACCAAACCGCTGAGTTTTTGTCTCTTTTCCCCTTTCCTTCCCTCCTCACTACCAGTTACCTCTAGCGCAGAATACAAGGCCAACTGTCTACATCTGCTACAATCTATTTTTATACAGCTGCTTGTGACTCCTTGGCTTGCTGACCACTCATTTGTAAGCACGTAAGTAAAAAGCGCAGTATTCTACTCAAACACGGTTGTTCAGCGTGTGTGCAGCTGACACTGAAAGCAGACTTTTGGGTTTTGGTGTTTGTAATGGTCTCGAGGGGAGTTAAGTGTAAGTCAAACTATTCAGTCTTCAATTTGCTGGGTTTTGACAAACATTTATTAATGCGAGTCTCAGCAACAAAATCTTTTATTTCAATATTTTCGACCAGAAGGCATGTTATAGCTCTACACCACAAAGCCTGTACGATACACACTGCTCGTTTACCCTATTTCCACGCTGCTTTGTGTCTCAAACAACCCATACAGATGGCTCCACAACCTCCGCTTCTGAGACAGCATGGCCCAAAACAACATGCTGGCCTGCTTCACTCCCCCCCCTAAATTATTCCATCTGTAAAGCACAAATAACAAAATATATTTTTGCTTCTAAGAGCTTCACTTATCTGCAGAAAAATAGAACTGCTTAAGAGTGAACTAGTTAGATTACGAAAGGGTCCAAGCACACACCCGCACGTTTGGTACCTCCCAACAAATCCACGAGGAGGAAGCATTCAAAATTAGATCCGACTAAAAAGGAGCCAGATAGTGTTCAAGGAAAGGGGATCCATCCTACCCTCACTGAATACCTCGTTCTTCTCTCCAGAGCAGGATGAGGAGGATAGAGCTGTAACTATGAAACATTTCTCTAAGTACTGGGACGCATTAAGAATGAACCTTCCAAACACTGCAAAATTTCAGAACAAAACCTAAAAGGCTTTTTTTTTTTTTTTCTTTCTCCAAAACAGAGTGAAAACAGCACACAGAGCTTGAATATCCACAGCACAAACTGAAAAACAAAGGGAGTTCGTTTGATCTACAGTGCTTTTGTTAAGGTATTCAGAGACTTTAGTGCACTCTTTTTAGAACTAAGCTTGGAAAACTATATTCCATTTTTTATTTTATTAGAAAACTAAACTGTATGAGGCAAGGAAACATTTGATCAAACACACAACAGTGAAAACATGGCACTGACAAGGCATTTAACCCAACCATTATCACAAACCCTGACTCGGGATTCTCCATTGCTTTCAGTCAGGTGTACATCATTTCTGCCATGTGAGACATTTTCTTGGGAATATACAAGTAGTATTCCATGTATCCCGAAAGATCTTCAATAGTCACGTCGTCCACAAAGGCTCGAGCTTGCTCAGAACAGGATCTGGGAGAACCTGAGGAGGCTGTTCCGCAGGGGGATCTATTCTGGAGAGACTGGGTGTGGACACCCAGCACTGCCTTTTCACACTCTGACAGGACGCTGCGCAGGCCCGAGAAAGAGTACACTTCCATGGCTCTCCACTGCTTGCACCGGCATGTCTTGTCCGTACAAGGGCACTGCTTGCCGTTGCCAAGCATGGATAAAGACTGGAAATCTGAGGTTTGGCTAGAATGCAAGCTAGTTTCAAAGGACGAGGAGACAGCAGGGTAATTCTCTCTTGGCTTCTCCAAAGGCTCTTCGGCGGCGAAAGCTTCCAAAGGTTCAGTTCTGTCATCACTGGCCTCAAAGTGAGAATCGTGCCTGTCCTTCGTACCGTGTTCTGCTGTAACAAAAACGTCTGAACTGATATTGCCCTTTGATGTTTCCGCCTGGGTTTTGTGTTTCAGCTGGTTGTTGGCTTTCATATTGCAATAGGTAAACTTGGGAGGATGCAGGACAGGAGACTTGGAGCGTCTGCGCCGTGGGACTCTTGTGGATCCCCTGGAAGGCTTTCTCACACACCTGCAGGGTGGCAACAGGTGAGCAAGTAGGTAACACCAGAATTTACATCATAGCTCAACAAGCTCTAAAATCTAGCAAAAAAACATTTGAGAAGATTTTTTTTTTCTGCTTAGAAAAATCAGGTGACTAGTCACAATCTCTGAAAGGAGCAGTGGGGGAGTCTAAAGAAATTGGAGCTCCCCCAAAGGAAAGACACATACAAACATCCCATAGTTAAAGGTACTTCCCCCCCTAAATCCTCTGTGCTAAGCCAAGGATACTTGGTCATCCCAAACTGAACTGTAGTGCAGAATCTGGATATCAGTTGGAGCTGCTGGCAGAATTGCACTGAATATCCAGGTACTTCAATACAGAAATAAAATAACCCACAAAAGAAGTAAGAGGGGGTTGCAAAGGTGTAAGACTTGAAGAAAAGGACTTCTGAGGAAATCAGTGGAAAACAAAGTTTTAGGTACCCTCTCTAACAGAAGAGGCAATATGTTTTTTTAAAGTCTTTGATAGAAGCCCCTTAAAAAACATCACATCACACAGTTATGGTCAAGTGTTGTAACAGAAAAGAGAGAAAAGATATGTTGAATCAACTAATTAAGAACAACTTTCACTAGAATCAATATGCAAGTGTGAAATGTCTCAAACCAGAAACACATGCACGGTGCAGTGAAGGGTGTGCTTTACCCATGCCACGCTTCCTTCGGACAGCCGGGCTGTTGCTTGGCTCCATCCATGGATGCTCTTGGTGTTCTGAGAATCGTCCCATCACCCACAGACAGAGCTGCAATACATCTGAGTAAAAAGGAAAATGCCAGGTTAGAGTAGTGCCAGCACATACCACTGCCGAGGTTGAGATTCAGCCTATTCGCTTTAGACGCTTAACTAAGACATTGAAGTTTGCAGCCTTGACTTCCTCTACAGCCAGTGGGTAGAAACAGGATATTACAGAGATTTAGCTAACCACTCTTGCTATATTGACCTTAGTCAAGTGTCTAAAGATAGGTGAGATGAAATGAAAGGAGGCCAAAATGCCCAGAGGCTGATGTCATGCCCTATTTGCACCAAAACGACACGTTAAAGGAATGTAAGTTCAGGTTCCAAATGTTCCTGTCAGACAATAGCTGTTAAAGATAGACTCCTACTCATTCAAAATGCCAAGTCAGGAACCCATAGCAGCAGGCTGAGGAGGAGTCAGTGGAGAAGTGGCTGAAGTACAATAGACAAGGAGAAATTACTGATTTATTTCTCACTAAATTTCCCAGATAAACATGGAATGAAAAAGCATCTGGCCCTGGAGGCCCAGACAACAAGCATAAATGCCTCAGCATGCAAATCCATATTTATGATGGCTGTATGTGTGATTTGGAACACAGGACAGGAAATCATAAGAAATGAGGCTGAAATTCTAGCAGAAGAGCCCAAGCACTCTGCCCAAAGTCTTAAGGGATTAGTCACAAGACTTGGACTGTTCAAAATACACGCCTGCAAAACACGATCTTTTCACGCCTAAGAAGATATCATCAGGAATCAACCAGAATTCCACACGGACTGTCACTGGTAATACATCAAAAGGGGTATGCTTAATAAGCATAGTTCCTTGTTAGAGAACAGCTGTTTCTATCCACATTTAACAAAAGACCTCTCAAAGTAGAGGAAACGAGTAGCAAAGCAAAATATATTTTAACATGCAGAGGAAGTAATGAGTTCACAGAATTGATAGCTACAGAGATGAACTCACAAGGTAACATTAATTATCAGTACAAAGTTTTCTTGTGAGTCTGTGAATTCCCAAAGGACTTCAAGTGACCTACCTCACAAAGTGTCAGACTGCATAATTTTATTAACTCCTAATTTATGGAAGATGCTTATACTACATATTATCAGTATACCCAGTGTGTTATAGAATAAGTTTTTATATAAGAATATCCGCAGACATTTTACTCTACAAAATCCCCTGGAATCAGAAATTGTCAGCACTCATTTTTAACCTGAGATTTCCAGTGAGACCAGGCTCTCCAGCACGAAGCGATGGTGCTGTCCTTCAGACGTTTCCCAAGCAAATCTCCATGCACTAGAGCACAGGCTGACAACCTGCCTGAGGGTACCAGCATTTTATTTACATGAACGGACAGACAAGTTGCGTATCACGCAGGGTGACTACAGCTACCACAACAATTAAGAGTGGGTTCATGCTTTGGGCCAGTCATCTCATGTTTTCATACAGTCACTGTGTAATTTCAGTTGGATATTGTGTGAAAATTAGTCAGTAATAAAGTCCTGCTTTGCTTATTAGACAGTTATAACGACTACGTTTCACATGAAGCGATACAGCTGTCGCCTCTCGGAGAGCAAGGAACCTTTCACCAACTTGTGGCGCTTGTTTCGAGACTCAAAACAGCAGAAAACAAGGATGTAACAAGCAACCGAGAGAGATCACACGGCCCTTTTCGTTGCTCGCTTACCCTGCCGCGTCCACCCTCAGCTTTTTGAAGGCTGTCTGCAGACTCTCCTCCTCTTCATCTTTAGCCGCCAAGTCCATGGGTGGGCCCTCAGCGCGCTGCCATGCAGGACCAGCTGAAACGCACAAACGGGGCTCTGACGCCGATCTCTCCACACACATACTCCCCGAACGCCTCCGGAGCCCCCGCCAGGCGCTTTCCCTCTCACCAGGGTGCGTGTGTCCCCCCCCCCCCCGGCCTCCCCCCACCCCCTGGGCGGGAAAGGCCCCGGCCCGCCCCTCCGCCC